TGAACTGCGAACCAAAAGAAGCTTGCCACTTTGTTGAAGCATGCTTTGACACTTCCTTTGATGATCCACTTCAGCCTCAGGGATTCTCAAGCTTCAAGATTTACTTGTTTCCATCAAATGCAGAGACCCATTGACAAGGTAAGTCATGATATGCACTGTTCAAACAGACGAATCAGACCACACATCTCATTGTGCAACTCCTCCTGCAAGCCCATCATCCCACTCCCACGAAATCACTGCCTCCACCCCTAAAATCAATGTGCCGACAAAGACAAAGGCAACCAAAACCACTGAGTTTGAGGTGTCAGGTGAGTAACTTCATCTTCAATTATCTTGTGCCCATTTTCTCATGCTTGCTCTCTCATACCTGTCCTCTTGTGCCCGTTCTCTTGTGCTAACTCTCTCCCACCTGTTCTCTCATGCCACGCCCCATCTTTCATGCCCTCCTACTTCTTGATATTGAGACCATTGACCGTGGCACCACAACAAGTCCTATCTATGTTTTTTTTTGCTCATTGTAAATAAATTTGGTTCAGTTCATGTTCGAACCTGAAAATGACTGGACCTGACCATTCTGAACCGTTCACCAAGGTCCAGTTCGAGGTTCATCAAGTCTGGTAGAACCAAACCTAGGTCCAGTTCTTGGTTCTTGCTTGACCCTCTGTGAACCGGACCAAACCAGACCATGGCAGCACTAACAATCACAACCTACATTCAGTCTTCCTGAGTTGATAGAGGAAGCCTCGTCCATCCACACACACACACACTGATCCGTAGCACAACCATTTAAGACTCACAGACATTTCACCACCCCCACACACACATGCACACAAACTAGCTTCAAAGTTCTGTCTCTTAGCACTAGCACTGTCCTCCTCATAGATTTGTTTGTTTGTCATGGATTCACACGCAGCTGGCAGGACTTGACAAGATAATTTGATTTGTTTGGCAAATCATTCGTCGAAAGGAACTCGAAACGTAGATTGCATTGGCTGGCAATGAGAAAGAATGCAAAGCGGCACACAAAGACTTGCCCGCCCCCAAAAGCAGAAGGGTTCCAGAAATCTGGCCAAATCCGGACGTCACGTGACAGTAAAAAGGCATAAAAGTATCTCACACTAAAATTGAAAATTCCAAAAACAACCTGATACGTCTGGGCAATGGTAACCATCGAGACTCGAGAGCGAGTGTCACATGTCATGATTACAGTTGACTATGTGTATCAGGATTGATTTTACTAATGCGGATTTTTCATTGTTGTATTACATTGTTTGTATTGTTAATTTCCCCACACCATCACAACCCCGATGCCATAATAATCAGTGCGCTTGTCGTCGTCATCATTGTCATCATCCCCGTCAAGCTCGTCGTCACCGTCATGGAGCTTGTCATCACCATCAACGCGCTTGTCATCACCATCAGCGTCTACTACAGTGGCTCAAAAAAGTGTCCCAATGTTTGTAGGTTTTCATGTAATTGTGTTATTGCGAGCCAGGGTGTGAGAATCTGACTAAGTCAAAGGGAGGTCCCAAAAAGCTCCGCTTCTCGGCTACAATTATGTCCCCTATAGCGTGAGAATCCATTGACGCCGTGCGAAGATATGGCTATTTTAATTAGGTGACTCATTGGGACACTTTTTTGAGTTTCTATTAAAATATGAAAATAAGGGAGGAAACACTAAGTACTAGAATTATAGAGATTATGTATAATTGATTCAAACTCAAAAAAGTGTCCCAATGAGTCACCTAATTAAAATAGCCATATCTTCGCACGGCGTCAATGGATTCTCACGCTATAGGGGACATAATTGTAGCCGAGAAGCGGAGCTTTTTGGGACCTCCCTTTGACTTAGTCAGATTCTCACACCCTGGCTCGCAATAACACAATTACATGAAAACCTACAAACATTGGGACACTTTTTTGAGCCACTGTATATCAACATGCATTATTTAGACCATTCATTCTGCACCGCTACAACTCTTTGTCAGACTTCAGTGTCATATTATCAACATGCTCGTTGTCATCATACATACAGCATGTTTGCATTGTTGCCACCTTTCTGTAATGGCGGCCTCAATTCTGCAACATCTTATCTCCCCACAGAAGATCAACTGAAGCCATGGACGAATTTATCGACTCTATGGACATCATGGATTCAGGGGAGAAAGACGATAAAGGGTGCATTTTCGATTCATGATCAACTTCCTTTGTTGTGCTGAGCCAGTTATTAAACAAGAATCCAGTCAGTCACACAACCCCGCTATCCATCGCACTGCCGGCCTCAATGTCACCTGATGTGGACCCTGGTCACGCTGACACACTGGGTTGTATCACTGGCTCAATGTAACCTGTGCATGATTTCAACACTCATGCCCAACTTGATGGTAAGCCCTGTTCACACAATCTCTTTATGTCATTGAATCAACTAATGTACATATTTGCCTTGCAGTTGTACTTAATGGTTACATGTCTCAGAGCAATCAGGTGGGCTGTGTATGATGCCTGGTGCTGCTGTGGTCCAGTTTGGTCTGGTTCAGAGGGCCTTGGATGAGAACCCAGAACCGGACCATCACATCAGGAAATCAACCCGGAATTGATATGACCAGGTAGAGCTGACAAAGAAAACTCATTATGATACATCTAAATCTAAAATTATATGTTATTATCTTTGCACAACACATGTATGACAAAATATATGACTATGTCAGAGGCACATCATTTTGATGTGCACCTTACAAGTATGCAACAAGTATATGAAAGAATATATAGCTATGCCACGGACATGTCATTTTGACATGCACCTTACAAGTATGCAACATTATGATACATCTAGATCTAAAATTATATACTATTATTTTTGCACAACATGTGTATGACAGAATATATGACTATGTCAGAGACACATCATTTTGATGTGCATCTTACAAGTATGCAACAAGTGTATGAAAGGATATATAGCTATGCCACGGACATGTCATTTTGACATGCACCTTACAAGTTTGGAACAAGTATATGAAAATGTATATGACTATGTAAAGGGCATGTCATTTTGACATGAATCTTACAAGTGGATAACATATGTATGACCAAATATATAGCTATGCTAGGGACACGTCATTTTGATTTGCCTTTTACAAGTATGCAACAATTATGTGAAGGAATATATGACTATATGAGGGGCATGTCATTTTGACATACACCCTACAAGTATGCAACATTATGATACATCTAGATCTAAAATTATATATTATTATTATTGCACAACATGTGTATGACAGAATATATGATTATATCAAAGACACATCATTTTGATGTGCATCTGACAAGTATGCAACAAGTGTATGAAAGAATATATAGCTATGCCACAGACATGTCATTTTGACATGCACCTTACAAGTTTGGAACAAGTATATGAAAATGTATATGACTATGTGAAGGGCATGTCATTTTGACATGAATCTTACAAGTGGACAACATATGTATGACCAAATATATAGTTATGCTAGGGACACGTCATTTTGATTTGCCTTTTACAAGTATGCAACAATTATGTGAAGGAATATATGACTATATGAGGGGCATGTCATTTTGACATACACCTTACAAGTATGCAACATATATACGAAAGAATATATAGTTATGCCGGGGACGTGTCATTTTGACATGCACCTTACAAGTTTGGAACAAGTATATGAAAATGTATATGACTATGTGAAGGGCATGTCATTTTGACATGAATCTTATGAGTGGACAACATATGTATGACCAAATATATAGCTATGCTAGGGACACAGCATTTTGATCTGCCTTTTACAAGTATGTAACAACTATATGAAGGAATATATGGCTATATGAGGGGCATGTCATTTTGATGTACACCTTACAAGTATGGAACATCATGATATGTCTAGATCTGAAATTATATATTATTATTTTTGCACAACATATGTATGACAGAATATACGACTATATCAAAGACACATCATTTTGATGTGCATCTTACAAGTATGCAACAAGTGTATGAAAGAATATATAGCTATGCCATGGACATGCCATTTTGACATGAATCTTATGAGTGGACAACATATGTCTGACCAAATATATAGCTATGCTAGGGACACGTCATTTTGACATGTATATTACAAGTGTACAACATATGTATGGCTGAATATATAGCTATACCAAGGACATGTCATTTTGACATCCACCTTACAAGTATCGAACAAGTATATGAAAATGTATACGACTATGTGAAGGGCATCTCATTTTGATATGAATCTTACAAGTGTACAACATATACATATGTATGACCAAATCTTACAAGTATGCAACAAGTATGTGAAAGAATATATTGCTATGCAAGGGGCATCTCAAACTGGCACATACCTATTGAGTTCAATTATTGATTCTTGAATCACTGTTGAATGCTGCAGTGAACATCGAAAATGTTAAAGTTTTACATTAAACAGTTGCTTTGGCAATTGTTTATCTCCCTTGCTCAGGCTGCTCCCACTTTGAGCCAAAATCATTGTGTATGTCTATCTTTCAAACGTGCAGTAGCACAGCATGACTCCGTGGTGGACACAAACCTCATACTAGTACTATCTCGTGCCTAATAGATTAGGGGTCCTACCTCGGGCATTTCCGACACGCAAATTCAACTTTTACGTTTTGGTAATTATGCCGAGCTGTAATAAGTATGTTAATTTGACACTTGCAGCTGTGGGCGAGAACACTGTGAGTTCGTGGTCATCGAGTGTATTTCTCATTATAAAATTCTATTCCAATGCTGATAGACGGAGCAAATATTGCCAAAACAAAGCCTGTTATATTGCACTGTACATAATGGTAAACAAGGTTCCTGACGACGAAGTTCGGCGCCATTCTAGTAGCCTTGATTATCAAGAAATTGGTAAGATAGAAGTAGCATAAAAGTAGCACACATAACACAACTTACAACCTACTTGGGTGAAAACTCGGTACAACTACAAGTAAGAGTGTCACATGACTGATGATATGTCAGAAGAGGCATATGAGGACAACCAATCATCGAACGAGCCCACACTGGTTTCAGGCGGACGTGACACACACGTCATTGAACTTCCGGAAGATATGCCTACAGTGACGTTAGTGTCGAAAAGATAAGTGTAACTGCATGCTTACCGTCGTCAGTGTGCTCGAACTCAGACATGCGTGCTATTGCTTCAGAAAGCATGTCCACTTCGACCTGCGCACGCTGCTTCTTCAGTCCAAGCATATGTAGATCGGATTTAAGGATAGCCAGACTCTTGCATTCCTTTGTTTTGAAGCTGTCGCGATTACATGAGGGTTTGAATTCTGCTAGGGATGCGATTATGTAAGCGCAATATGTGGTATTGTCGACCCATGTTTTCAACAAGCGAGGCAGGGAGAGAAATCGATCGTTGGGCTGCACAGCGCCGCGTCAGAACCCCTCTCTCGTAGCATGAATAGCGCTTACCCCTGTAAGGTATTCGTAGAAATGAACAGCTTCTGCACGCGGGGAACCAAATGGTATTCGGCTTGCGTCAGAATCATCCAGGGTATTGCCTTGCAACGCGATCAGCCATGCATTGCATTTGTCTCAGGCGTCGCATTTGTCTGGCATGACCTGTATAGGTCGGATGTCATCGAAATTGACCGGACTGGGTGATAAGCATGTTTTCATACACGCGACATCACCCACTGTGGGCAGTGTCCTGAGGCAATCTAAGAACAAATATTGATGAACAGGAAAAAATCGCAAGGTGTTACTCACTTGGGGAACTTCTACATTCCATTTCTTCGCACAAGTTAGCAATAGCAGTACTGTACAATGATATTTCAGTTTGAGCTCGGTGCATCCTGTCTTCCATCCGACATCTCCCTTGCAAACAGGATACAATACCAAAATCATGTTCTCGCTCAAGCTGTATCGCAACCTCCCGGAGGCTCACGTCAAGGAGAGCTATAAGATCGTGAGAGTCAATCCATCCAAACAGCACGGAAGCTGTGGCAAAGAGGGAGTCTGGAAGCTGGAAGCAAAGTTAGAATGCTACAATAATCATAGGACCTGCGCTCACAGTATCATGCTCCTGTTTCTGGAGCCAACATATCATGGCAGTCTCAGTTTGTTCAATTCCGAGAAAATGAGAGTAGGAAGATGCTTCGAATGTAAAAGGAACGGCGGAACTGGTGTTCACCATGTTGAAGTTAGAGGGAAGCAAGAGAGAGGCTAGAGGGTGTGTTCTCACGAGCGTGTAATGTTTACACAACCTATTCAGTCGTTTGAGAAGCGATAGCGATCAAACGATGCGATGGCAATCAAACCATCAAACCTTAAAAAACGGCACAAATAAGATAGTGAAAAGATGACCTGTTCATGCACATTATTAGTATTATCCTGAATGACCAATCGGGAAATACTTCTCAATGTATCAGCAGTGCAGGCAATGGCTTTCACGAGCACAAAATTTGCAGTTCGACAGAGAACAAAGTAGGTTTCAAAAGGCTCATTTGAGTAGATGTTACATAATACATATACAGCACGGATCCAGGACTCATTTTCAGCAGTATTAGGCCGCAACTCCTCTGCGGCTGATCCGGAACACATCGGTCTCACTATGCATTGCATTGCTGTTAGCCCTAGTACAGAAATCATAAGTATCCTGTCAACTTACGTGATGTTGCACAGCACTCTTATTTGAGCCCTGAACATGGCAATGTCCGGGTCTTCATCTTGCTGGAGGAGCATCACAGCTGTCTCCCGAAGTTCACTGTGCACTTGGCTCACAGAAGGAAACTGTGGCATGACGTCTGCGGTGCCCCAGATGCTCACGAGCTTCGTGAGGAGCGACTGGTAGCACTAGTGTGATAATAGTAAACGCAAGTAAAACAGCGAGACGGTAGAGCACTTACACATGACCCCACCAAAGCCAAAGTATCTACTGGCGGGTGGGGAGAGTGCCTGAAGGTTGCTGGTTCTAGATTGGCGATGGTGAAACGCATACGGTTTGTCGCCGTTGTCCTGAATATGACATGATAAACCAACTCCTTCCCTGCTTGATGAATCAAGAAGGTGTAAAACCCGTTGATCTGCACGATAAAATCAGGGTGTAATGATGAAAGAAAATCCGAAGAACTCACCCGGATTGGAAGCAAATGTGCATGGGGTCGTGTGAACATCTGCAGGAGAGTCCCGATGCTGTGCTTCAGAGTCATGCCAAAGAAGTTGCCGAGCCCAAAGATGTGAGCGTCATCCATGGAGCAGGTGATCACCCGACGGGTATCATATAGAAATTGCGTAACCCACGGGCTCGTCTATTTTTAAATAAGACAAGAAAATGAAAACAGGAATTGACACGTACGAGCGCCAATACTTCGTTTTGTGACATTGGAAGCTTGGAGTCTTTGTTCAGCACTAGAAAATATTCAGTCTATATGAAAAACGATAACAAGTTCCCCTACCCATTTCCAAATCTTGGACAGTGATGTTTGCACGAGCTAGACACCTAGGCCAGAGACTGCAAGCAAGCTCAAGTCTGCATTCGCCGTAATCGGCATTGATGAGAAGATGAGGATTGTCAGTGTGACCGCAACATATGAAAATCCTCAAGGAGACACGCAGGTACGCCAGGGCCCTGCGCCAGTTTGGGCAGGTCTTCATAATTCCATGAAGGGTGTGTTCAGCCTTAACCTTCTTCTTCTTGGGGAGGACCGGCCGCACAACTCCTGGCACTGAAGTCATGGCTGACGAGTCAATCCAGGTGGTCTGAAGGATCGACTCTAATTCGTCGATTAAATCATCAGCCTGAAGATATTGGTAGCCGAGAGGAAATTGCGCAAGATGGACGATAGTTAGAGGTTCGTCGACCCGGGCCACACCAAGCTACGACATTGTAGCATCATGAGAATGTGATACATTAGGAAGGCGGACGCAGACATACATAGTTGTAGACACCATGCAGCATCTTATCGTTGCCTGTTTTGCCTTTCACCCATGGCAAATTCAAGAATGGTGCGGCGATATCCGACAGCTGGTAGGACATCAGTAGGAACGCGTGATACAGTACAGATGGAACCTACCGCTAAAACATACACAGGTACCTCGTTGTTGGGTAGTAACTCGTATGCCGTATTATGGATCATCGGGGTTTCCAGATATGCGAAGAGAGACAATTGCTGCTTTAGCTGGGAGCAGGTAGTAAGTATGAATTATGCATAAAAATAAAATCCACCTACAGCGTCAAGAGCGAGTGGGGGGCACTGCGCCATCACATAGATGAGAGATGTGGTGTAAACAAATCAGTGAATACTTACGTATAGAGGTAAAACAATGGGCTGAGGGCCCAGCGCCAAGTACCCTGCAAGTTCAACAGTGGTTGCAGGGATACCCTGAAGGAACCGGTGAGTAAAGTTGTTGAGTGTTGTGAGAGAAGAAAACTTGCAGAGAACGGGAGGAACCCAGGAAGCATAGGGTTGAACAAACACGCATCAGCGTTGATCGTATTGTTCGCGTGATTATCGAAGGTAGACATTGCGTTTGCGATGAATTTTTAGAAAAGATATCAATACGATGCGTATTTAAGGCTGATTGAGAAATACGATTTGCGCACGGCCCCAGTGGATGTTCGACGCGATCATCCGAGAATGCCAAATTGCAATCGAAAAATTCCTGTAAAATTGAGTATAAACTAGACTATTAGAGCGATAACAAACACATAATTGGATTGGGCTGACATTAATATGCTTAGCACGTCACTTGGTCAGCGCGGTGTCTTGGAAGTAGCAGGGACTATTAGGTGTTACAAGAGCGTATTACATGTACATACCGTGTTAAGCTACATTGCTGGCACGAGGCTCAGATTAACGACTGGTCGTCGCAGTGCCATCGAGAAGTCTGGACCCTTATTACGTGCACCATTCAGGCGGTACAATAATACATTGTTGGCTGAACCATATAATTGCCCGTCTTCCACGCCAACGCAACGTGACTTTAAAATGTTAGTTCTCGTAATCTAATTCTAAGTCACTATCGTACATCTCGTGAAACTCAGATAACGATTCACTGCTAGAGCCGAACTGTTGCTCAGGCACCTCGACCTCGACTTCTGACTCGGAATCATCCTGCTCTTCGTCATCATCATGGCTTTCAACTTCTTCGCTATCTTCGAAATCTTGAAGATTATGCTCGAAGCTTGCGAGATACTCATCCTGAGACTGAGCTTGTGAGGTACAATGGTGCGAGTAAGTATGCCCAACTCCAAGACCGAAATGGAACCGCATCAACATATCGCGGTCTACAAACCTAAAATTATGAACTGAATGCAAGTCATGCGTGTAGCGGGAGCATTACTCACCGATTAATGTAGTATATGCGCCAATCATTCTTATCTCCTGCACACGCTGAGAGACCTGATCCGTCAGGCCGTCTCCTCTTGCGAGCAAAAGCAGGAATAATATGACAGCCCCTAAGGACATCGGTTGGATCCAGAAAGTCAAACGAGTGGTCGTGAGTCACAGACAGAAATCTAACACGATCCATAGTTGAGGAGTCCCAGGTGGAGACTTCATCTATGGGTTCGTACCACCGAACCCATAAAAACTCCATTCGAATCGGTGTATAGTCGACCATACCAACTCCGATAAAAATTACATTAGTATGATAAATACCCAGTACTTTGCCGTAAATATATCTGTGACCTTGAGGTCCCATATCGTTTTCGGCGCGGAGAACCATAATGTTGCAGTGGGAAGTCTTTGGGTTGATGACGTCTTGGGCTCGACGAACATCGTATGTAGTATAATTAAACCTAGCCGTGTTGTGACTATATATTCGGTCGTCCTTCAGGATGATCGAATTAGTATCTTGATCTGACTCTGCAATATTTCTTGATATCGTGGTGCGACGCAACAGATGAAGTTTCAGTTTCGACATGAAATTCTGCAGGAGGTGTAAGGGTGTTTACGTGGTCATAATATAATGAGACTGACCTTGACAGCTGGATCGCCTTCATGAAGGCGCAAGTAGGATCCTATATGAATAGGATGCTTTTGTGTTAGGCCTATATGGTGGTGGACGTCCGGGCATCTCGCTAACTCCGTGATTTCAATGTGGGGGCGATGAACGACCCTGTCACCCACGCGACGAATGCGAGTCTGCCGACGTTCGATCCGAGTCAACTGTCTCACAAATAATTTGCGATCGGTGCGGCGATAACTCGCCTTAGGTGACCGGTGTTCAAGTTCACCCTGGAGTAAATAGTTAGCTATGGTCAGGCAAATGACAACGAATGGACTGGTTCACTGCTGTACGAGTCAGACGTGCCATATCGCCGAATTGTGGACACGTAATCTCCTAAAGCATGGAATTTGTACGTTTGGAAGTTAAAAACTTTTGTGCGCTGCCCATAATTCAAAGCGTTTTGCTTGCCCTTGCGCACATCGTTTTGTTTCGATGCTTGCCTTGCGTGGCGTCACGTACGAGCCTCGACTTCCCGATGAAGTTCCCGGGTGGTGTAAGCGTCACAAACCTTGGCTTTAAATTCCCTGAACTGTTGACCAACTGCGGAAGTTACTAGGTCCATAATGTCAAGGGTCATATCGGAATGCATTCGAAGTTTAGCAAGCCCGTGCCAATGTGCCATTGTAAATAGCAGTTTGAGAATGATAGTGTTGTGTGGTTCTGGAAGGAGGCCGTCAAAGACAGGAATAGAACACTGCACTTCACATCAGATACTGCACTTCACCAACAACAGTAAGTTCATACCTGGAGCAAGTCCTCGAAATTGCGAGCTGCCATCCTCTTCATCTCTGAAGAGTTAGCAGAAAATTTTCGAATGGTCGCTTGGCCAAACGTTGGAGTTTGCCTGTATCTGATAGTAGGATTTAAACAAATGGAACGCCAGTACGATGACACATGCGCACCTGCGGTCTAATTCATGGATAAGAGATTTATCATGCGCCAAAATGATACGCAACAAGTGAGTAAAAAGGGACTTCCAGACGCCAATCTCAAACTCGTGTAAGAGATCGACCACAAGCGCCCGGAAAATATTGAACCCCAAAGGGCCAAGGCGATCTGAGAATGCGATCTGAAGAATGATTAGCCATGGTCTATTACAAAAATGATTCAGGCCTTACCGAAGTGGGCACCCATGAATGTGGTTTAAGGATACGCTCAACTGGTGCACTGCCGACCGCTAAG